TGTGTGTGTGTGTGTGTGTGTGTGTGTGTGTGTGTGTGTGTGTGTGTTAGTTAGAGAGAGGGAGGCGGATAGTGACTCATTGGCTCTGTATCAGTGAGGTAATTCTAGATCTGTTACTAATGCCAAAGGGAGTCCCTGCTTGCTTTATTGCTCTCCGTGTGTGTACGTGGAGGCAAAAACAAGGTGTGTGGGGGGGGGGGCTTTGTGTGTGTTTGAGTTTCTCCTCTGCCCTGATATCTCAGCTCTGCGTGGCTTCTGCATGGTAACAAGCTGCTACGCTGCACCGTTACTCTGTTGTTTCTCCTGCTGTGGAGAAGATGTGACGGCAAAAGCAGAGTAAGCTTCTTCAGTTAAGTTACCCGAGGGGTGGTGTCCGTGTATCATTCAGCGATTTATATTCTGGGCCAGGGCTGAGATAAGAGTACAGTTAGTAGAGAAGTTGTCATTCGACCGGTTCACAAAGTCTGTTCTTCTGAAGAGGCATACGAACCGCCAAGAACTAATCTAGCGTTGATCCTTTGCGCCATGAAGAGAAAAAGCTGTACCTGGCTCTAAGCACTTGTTTTAGTCTCCGCTTAATGTTAAAGCACTTCATACACAAACATCAAGACCTGAACCAAAATGAATTGTAACTGCACCTAAGACTAAACAAACTTGAATCCAGAAGACGTGAGTAACAATTGGCGCTTCCTGATGCACCACCTTCTGTTTGTTTGTGAGTGGTTTCCTCTGTTACCTTATCTGAGCCCAACGGGAGTACCTCTCATTAAAAGTGAATTGACTCCTGTTACATTGAAAACTTCCATCTGCTCTTACACACACACACACACACACACAGTGTAGTCTCACCTTTCTCTGTTGGAACAGTAACATTGACAGTTTAGTAGCGTCAGAGAATGTGGCCCCCGGGAGTCGGGTTGTGGCCGCTGGTTGTTGGCCACTTGTGTCTGCCGGAGATTTCCACCTCTGTCTCTAAACCTGGCTAAAAAACACACCGTCTTTTTGCTCTTATGTGCTGATCTTACATCCAAATGTTACGTCCTGTAGACGTCAGGTTAACACAGGTGTTTGTGGGGCCAGTAATCTGCAGGTCAGAGATTGTAAATGGACTTCCCGGTGTGTGTGTGGCCGTCCCCCACATGGGTCATTCCGTATTAGGAAAATATGACTTGAGACTGGAAACTAGAATTAGCTGCAGGATGAACTCGGCGATGGTGAACTGATTGAGACCAACGAAAGCTCATCAAGGGTGATAATCAGATCTTCCGACGCATTGTTAAATGGCACGTGTTTGGCATGTGACATTTCTTTGAAATGCAAATGAAAAAGCCTTAATGCAATCAAGAGAATGCACTTCTGAACAGGTAAGAGAAGATATTTCTGCCAGATTAATACATGCCGGCCTACCGAGCAGCGGCAGCAGTCACTTCATATGGAAATGGCGGCTCGTGCTGCACTCTGTTCCAGCGCGTTTTACAACATCTCGATCTCGCTTGTCATTTTGTCTCTCTTGCTCCCTTAATTTCGGTTCCGTAGTGCTGTATTTGCATGACAAAAGTGTGTTGAAGATGTAAATAATGTGTCTCCCTCTTTGTGAACCGCTGGCTGTAGGTGATGAAGTGTAAAGGTCTCTGGTGATGAACTGCTGCTCGGGTCCAGATGGCTCATTGTTGCGTCCGCTGGCCCTTCTAATAACACACTCTTGGCATTGGCCAGTGTCACTAGTGTTTTTTTTTTGTTTTTTTTTTATAGCTGTGTGTGTGTGTGTGTGTGTGTGTGTGTGTGTGTGTGTGTGTGTGT